GACAAAGTGAAGTTTTGTGTGTTGGTGATTTCTTTTTCTACTATAAATGCCTCTGATGATGGCTCCGTGGTGAGCCGAAACATGTAAGGCAGGTGGTGACGAGGTGGAAAACTTAAAAAAGTGTCACATTTGACGGAAGGAACTTGATTGTTAATTGGTTAGTGTGACGGACCAGAATGAAAGACCTTAAAAGTCTTCACTCCTATTTTCTTTTTACCTATTACCACATAACATTTTACACGTTGCACTTGTGTTGCTTGCACTGAAAGTTTTCAAGTCCATAATGTTGCTGTTACAACTATAAGGAAAAAGAGGGTACAATGGTGGTTCATACTTTAGAGGGGTGAAAGGATTAAAGTCACATGCACATTGTACTAACCTAGAATAAAAACTAAGAAACATACCAAAATCCAGAATGTGTAGGTCACTGTGGTCCATAAGTTTCACATCCAGACCCTGAAGATTCTCATCAGTGACATAATCTTGTATCCCGTGAGTATTTGTGTTAGAAAAAGGACTCGTGCCACCAAAAAGGAACATTTTATCCTCCACTACAAGACATGCTTGACGTCGTCTCTTGCTGGGAGGCCTACCCAAAGGTTCCAATTGTTGCCATTCATTACGTACTGAAAAATAAGAAATTATACATTTATTTACATCTCTAACATCCATTTGTATGTAGAACTCTCATTACAATTTTAATGCATTTATGAAGCTTGTACTAATTCAGATGAAAGTTGAATGTATTATCTGAGTGGAAAGTCAGGTACATTAGTAATAGTTATTATATTGTAATATATGAATTCATATAAAGTGCAATTCAATAATTTGAAAATGTCTGTTAATGTGTACTGCTTTATAAGCCGAGACATGTAGTACACTGCTATACTATTAAGACTAATAAAATCATTATACACAGTGAAATGTGAATGAAATTCTATTGGTTGTTGTGTTGAAATGGAAACAAAATGAGGAGGTTATGTAAAAATCAACTGTTTCAAGAGATTTATTATATCTCTACATATATAATGCAGAATCTATATTCATTCATTCATCAGTAATCTGTCAGACGACAGGTCCGCAGTCTCTTCCAAAACAGTTCCTCCACTTAATGCGATCTACAGCTTTCTCCTTCAAATGAGAATATCCTCTTCTGTCCCCAAGGTCATCCAGCATCTTCTTATGTCTTCTGGTCACTTCTATCTGCCCCTCTATCTTTCCTTCAATAACTTCTTTTAGAAGGCAGTTACTGACTTATATACTGCCTATATATTATGAAAAAATGTCATTGACTTACCTGGTGAAAATCGGTAGAGGTCATTGAAGTGTACATTGCATAATCCATTATAACCACCAAAAATGTATAAATATCCTTTGTAGGCAACTAAAATAAAAGAAAAGTACAATTAGGTCTTGCAATAGGATTTCATATCATCTGCTGTTTGTATACATTTTACTTATGTTTATTCTGTGATATATCACGGGAGGTTTACAAACCAGTGTGCTGTGAGGTAACAGTCTATGTGCGCTATAACATTCTGAATTCAAAGGCATTCCTAGACAATGTCAAAAATAACAACTTTAAAAGTAATATTATATCAGTAACATCTTGTTAAATCTTTTCTTTTCATCTCACTGGCTGCTTTATCAACCCCTTGTATGCCATTCTAATGAATGTACATGTATATGAAAAATTAAAGATCTGATCACTCTCAAGATGGCAGTAATATGTAACAATATTAAATTCACATTTGGTAGTTATTTGTGGTGTAAACAGTGTACCCCTATGATAACAACAGGTTCAAAATGCTGCAAAAGGTTATATGTTTATGCATTTGAATAAACAAGCTCCAATCCTGAGCAAGCAATCAAACAAGAAAGAAGGCATAGGAAATTGAATGCATAGTTTATAATGAAGCTTCTATTCATTGTCTACAGTTACAAAACTAGGTAAGGTGTGGGCTCCACCACAATCTATGAGATGCAGCAAGTACCACAAATGACTCATGGTTTATAGCCACATATGTTAATAATAAAGATGATGCAATGATAACCACTGCAAACGAATCAAGCAGTAGTAAATGATGGCAGCACCACAACATGGAAATGAACAGCATACACAATTACAGGTAAGAAAATCTCAGCATTAAATTACTGTGTACATATTTCTCAAAGCAACACTAAATAAACATATCACATGATGACTGAGGTGTGGGAGCCGCCCACATTGAATCAAGCACTAGCCAATCACAGGCTAGGAACCATCCGCTGCTAAGCAATGGCTGGGTAAATGATCACTGCTAGGTGGGCCCTGCAACAATACATGACAACAGTAGGTGTCGATCATTGGTAAATGGGCGTGTTTTCTATAGGTCCAACTCAAGGTTATATAAAATGTAGCAAAAGAAATGTGTGTGTGATCCAGTCCGGAACCCGCCTACATAAGTGGGTTGAATGCATTTGCCAAGAGAGAGAGAAAGAGTTGGGGATATAAGGATGAGGGGTCGAATACCTCCACCATGACCCTGTGAGTTGTAGGAGGCGACGAAAAGGGAAGTCTCAAATCTGAGACAGTAAAATATGGTCGCGAGTACCAAGGGACTTGGCCCCGAGAAGGACTACGCTGGCAAGGGCCAGCAGCATATACAAAAGACAGACCCATCCTCTCGTCAGAGAGGGCACCCCACAGAAACAAGACCGTAACTGTCAAACAGTAATAAATATCTGGTCATGAGCCCCATATGAGGCTTGCAACCAAGACTTACTGACTGACTGTCAGTCGCAATGTGACTTTGACTTGTGTGTGTGTGTGTGTCATTGCTGGTATTGCTGTTGTTACATTATTAGTCTTCAGCCAGCAACCTGTATATTCTGTGCAGCTACAATAAATATTTATAAGTAAAGTAAAAAGTAAAGGTATCCCTGTAACAGGCTGTGAAGGCCCACAGGGTTGTGAGACGTTAAGGGTCCCACATTACCTCGACAATCGGCCATGCTTCACTCCCCAGGAAAATTATTTAATTAATTCCTGGTACTCATTTCTGTTAGAGGCTGAGTAAACCCCAGGGCCTAGTGTGGCCAGAAGGATTAGGTCAATTGAAAAAATCCAATGACCTCATCGGGACTTGAACCCGCGACCTTCCGGCTTGTAGCATAGTACCTTAACCACTATGCTACCGCGTACCCCTACAATAAATATTTATATATCAGTTTAATAAGTGGTTGTCTCTATATACAATGAAATCCCAAAGAGGCATCTCACCCAGAAACTCTAACTACAGTACAATCCGAATTTAAGGCTTCTTCATCTAAGAGGTTCCCTCATTTTCTGTTCACTTTATGCAGTCAGAGACAAAGCACCACATAAAAAATGCACAATTTTCATCCACTTCAAGTTTCTCGTTAGAGTTTTACCCACATTAGTGACTGAAAATTCAGTCCCTATATGAAATTTGTACCTCAATTTAATACCATATTTACCTCAGTGAGGGAATAGGTGTTTTCCCTATTTTCAGAGTTAAATAATGAAGGGATGTCTTCAATTTGGGTGCAAACAAACTATTATTTTTAAACCCTCTATGCTTTTAGTAGGATGATGCTACTAAGGTGTAGTAAGTGATACTATTCATGCCACAATTCTGCTATTGGCTCAGGAAGTGAACCAAAAAGTGAGATCAAACTAATACATAAAACATCGATAAGAAAAACATGTCACAACATATGATAAAATATACAATATGTAATAGAATAACTTGCACAGAAACAAAAGGAATACACCACACAGACATTAGATTAACCACACATCAACATCGTGACAACAACAAGAGTACATTCAATAGCATGTCACACACAACTAACTTGCTGAGATAATGACTACAAGCTTCAGCATATGCACCACTAACATTGCCACAACAGCTGCTGCAATAACATAATTTTTTAATCCCATTTTATCAACTCATTTGAAGAGTACTGTCTTCTGGGATATCTGTAAGTCAGAAGTCACGAGTCGTGAGTAGTCAATAAATCCAGTCACCAATCTAAACCCCATCTACAGTTCACTGCCTACTATGTGACAATATGCATTTTATGATAGTTTCATGGTTTTCGTTTGAATGACATTTGTATTAACACTGTTTATGCAACATAATACATATACATACACCTGCCTACATAGGCAAAAACACAGCCTTTACAATAACACACAACTTAACACAGATGTGTAATACTAGACTATATTTTTAATGTTCTGCCATACAAAACAGGTGGGAACACTGTATGGTGTTATACATGATATATCCCCAGAAACATAACAAGAAAGCAAACTTATTCACTATGTAGGTTGCTAATCACATCATGGTACTACACATGTGCTATTCTTATGGGTGAAAAATGAAGTTAGAGTAACATTCAGATATACATCAACAGTCCACTTCTTCCTTTGTACCCCCTAAAAAATTCATATTCCCCCGACACCTAGTGGTGAAACTGACAATTAAATGAGCAAATTCTTATATTAATTTCTGAATTCTTCTGATGAAGATGTCTCATATTTCATTACCTTATCCTGGACATTGACCACAGTCTAGGTTTATTATAAACACCATTTTAGATTGTGGTTCTGTTTCTATTTTCAGGCAATTTGATGGGTCCATTGGACTTAAGTCTGAGCAAATCTCTGAATTAATGTTATGGGCTCTGTTTTCTTCATTATAAACATAAATAATGGATAATACACAAGACAAAAAAAAAATTAATTAAATGCATAAATGCTGGCAATGTTGTCTGTAACGGTAACAAGAAAGACAATACACATACTCTGTGACTGTACTGGCAGCAAATGTGTTTAAAAGCTTCCTTACATGCTGAATGGCTTCTTCGACCAATTGGAACATCTCCAGATGTAACAGGTCTGTGCCATCTCCCTGTCTGTGTTTCAAGGTACATGATGTCACTGCAGTAAACTTCTTCTTGCGAATGGTAAGGTCCATTCAGGTCTCCTCTGCCTCCAAATATGTACATCCTATCTCCAAGGGCTGTTGCAGAGTGAAAATCTCGATATGATGGTGGTTCTCCCTAAGTGCAGCAAAACAGTCTCATGAATTGTGAGAAAATAATCCCTGGCAAATGTTACCTTAGTATCCATGCTTCTGAATATAGAATATGGTTAAGAATAGTGGCGGAACAACCATGAATCTTAATCCTTTCACCCTGTGTTTACATTTCAAGGGAGAATACTCCATGTGATTAAGTACATCAAATCCTTGCCAATATTGAGATTATGTTCCCACAAAATTCCATGTTCAACAATACTAACTTCAGTAAACTTAGTAACCCATGTGACAAATACGAGGGGCATTCAAGTTCTAAGGTCTCCATTTTTTTTCTCAGGACTGGGAGCAGATAGACACATGCGGTTTAGTTTAATATATGTGTGCACTCTTTGTGAATCTGTGACAGAGATGACAGCACTGTATGATACACAGAACTCTAGTGGCGGCCGCGAGCGTGAGGAGTGTTTTTGATACTTAAAATGGTGACGTTTTCGTTCCAAGAACAGCGAGCAATCATTTGTTTTCTCCAGTTGCGTGGTGCCAGGTGATGTTGACACGTGATGAAGGCATGAATGGGACTTTCTTTTCATCAATTGTGACAATGGATGAGACATGGATGCCGTTTTTCAATCCAGAAACGAAGCGCCAGTCAGCTCAATGGAAGCGCACAGACTCACCGCCACCAAACAATTTCGGGTAAGCGCCAGTGCTGGAAAAATGATGGTGGCCATGTTTTGTGAGAGCGATGGCATAATCCTTACTCACTGCGTTCCAAAGGGCACTACAGTGACAGGTGCATCCTACCAAGATGTTTTGAAGAACAAGCTCCATCCAGCACTGCGAGAAAAATGTCTGGAAAAGGCTGCACGTGTGCTCTTTCACCAGGACAATGCACCAGCGCATCGGGCATATGCGATGCAGCAGTTTATTCGTGAAAACAGCCTTGAAGTGGTTTCTCATGCTCCCTATTCACCTGATCCGGCTCCTAGCGATTTTTGGCTTTTCCCAACGATGAAAGACACAAGATATTTCTCTCCGTGGTCGCACATTCACCAGTCGTGCCGCTATTGCATCAGTGATTTTCCAGCAGTCAAAACAGACTCCTACAGAAGCATTCGCAGTGGCCATGGGATCATGGCGTCAAAGTTGTGAAAAATGTGTACGGCTGCAGGGAGATCAGGTTGAAAAGTGACAGAAGTTTCAAATTTTTTTTATGATTGTGTGAGAAAAAAATCGGAGACCTTAGAACTTGAACACACTACGTAAGATCTGTGGTAAACTGGGAAGCTTTTTACATTAAGTATTTCCACAATAAAGACGATTTACTTCATATATCATACACAATAGTGTATAAGACATGTTTTTTCTTCTAAAACATTTTCTAACACACAAACAGTTAAACCCTGAATGCTAAATTATACTCACCTATTGCAGAGGTTTAAAAGACACAGAGTTTACTTCCACCTTCTCATACATCAATGGGGAAATTTTGCCCTTACATATCAGTCTGCATTCCACACAAAAAAAAACTGCCTTTCGAAAATACAAACAATTTTTAACATCCACTGGTAAACAAAATATGAACCAGCATTAAAGGTTCGTAGCATTAGTCTCCCTTTTGATTGTTTGCATAACTACATGAGTAATAATTAGGAAAACTGAATAACCTGCAGTGTTATGCATGATGGCTATTATTCATGGAAATTGGCCAGCTGGTTCAAAGGTATTTTGGCAGGTGGACATGTACACACAATCACATGTACACTTGCACAGAAACACAAAGACAGAAGGGCTAAATGAAGAACAATTTGAAAAACACGTTCACAAATATGACAGATCGTTAGACTCCAGTGGTCAGCACTTCTACCTTGTATTCAGGAGGTCCCAGCTATCTTATGTTCTGTGTATTTTCTAATCCTCTCCATGAAAATGCTGAGATGGTACGGTGAGGTCACAAAAGAGCCTGCCATAAACTGTCTGGCCATTCAGGCAGAGCTCCACATGATACACCAGTTCTGTTCATGCACACCTGTCTCTCTCCTGCTGCACTGGCTCAACAGTAACTTCATATAGGCCATGAGAATTTCTGTCCTCTGACCTACTTTCCAAGCCATCATGGACTACAATCCCTATGCCATACATCCAGATGACAATGCAGATGCAACAGTGTTATTAAATTATGAATGAATCAATCAAAGAAAAAGACATGACACAATTTGTTCAACTGTAAATACAAGACATACTTCATATTCTGTAACTGTGAAGTGCAACACATGGTACAACCATAAACTAAATCCCTTGGTGGGGGGTGGAGTCCAACGGGGTCCACTCGGCACGGCAGCCATTGATTGGCCTATTGTAGCCTGCCCAGGTTGATGATGATGGAGAATTTGGTGGAATGAAGATTGGCAGGAGAAAACCCACCCCAGCACCACTTTGTCCACCACAAACCCCACTTGACCAGACCTGGGATCGAACCCAGGCCACCGCGGTGGGACGCTAGCGACTAACCGCTTGAGCTATGGCGCAGCCAACCATAAGCTATATAATGCTGCCACTGTTTCTTGTCAACTTAATTACATGGTGGAACATTATATTAACCTGAACTGCAGGCATGGACCCAAATTGCATCTTTGGGCCTGCTCTGAATTCTCTGAATGTAGTAAACTAACTGTTTTTCAAACCCTT